CCAGAATCATTGCTAAAGATAGTATGAGAATGCAAAAGTTCCACATCAGAACTGTGCTTCTAAGCGTCCTTGAAGAAAATGCCATCCCTGACAGTGATGGCAGTCCTAAGGAGGAGGCGGAGCAGACGCCACACAGCGCAGGCGCTGTTCTGAGAGCCTCACGGAAGCTCCCTTCTGAGCTCTCAGAACAGCTTTCTCAAGCAGGCCTGACCTCAGGCTACCTCCACGCATACAACATTGTGCACGTTCTTTTGCAATCTTCACGTAGTCTGCGTGATTCCGCATCTACACTACAACTGCTTCTCAATGGGAAAATAAAACTTCAAAATAATCGAGCCTGCGCTGTTGACAGGACTCCAGAACTCAGCTTTGGTCCTGTCATATTTAAGACAAGCTCTACACACAGACTAACAGACCCCTTCCATTGTTATGTGTTAGGAACTGTCCTGAACGTACCACCAAGATCAAACTTACTGCCTTGGTTTTTTTTGAGACAAAGTCTCTCTATGTATTTCAAGTTGGCCTTGAACACACTATGTAGCCCAATCTGGCTTCAAAGACTCAGCAATCTGCCTGCCTCAGCCCTCCAGGTGTTGGCATTACACCTAGCCCAAGAGCAAAAGTGATGTCGAGTTTCTTTGTGGCACTCAGTTTTTTTTTTGTTTTTTTTTTTGTTTGTTTGTTTGTTTTGGGGGGGAGTTGGCGGAACCGGGGTTTGAACTCAGGCCCTTACGCTTGCCAGGCAAGCGCTTATTCTACTGAGCCATCTCCCTGGCCCCAGCAAGTTTTGCAACAAAGATAACCTATCTTTCCTACAAACAAAACTAGCAAAAATCTCATTTTCCCAGTATCAACTCATATAATTACTTGATTTTTTAATTAAGATTATAAGTATCTATATTTTCCTTTATTATAGTAGTTTAAAAATTGCCTAAATGGCCAACATGTATTAAAAGAAAGACAAATTGAGTATAATTTTTTATATATTAGGATATAATAAATTATGAGATTGCGATTGTCTCCAGGTTCCAGGGGCGTTAGGGCTGCATTAGGGTTCAGTAGGTACTTCCAAGAGAAATCACATGACAATCTAAAGCAAAGGGCTAGGGGATGCTTTTTACAAGTGCAGACAAGTGTTCTAAATAATGAATGGGTTTAGACCTCTACACAAACCCTTGAAGAATATAACTTCCTTGAAACACCTATCCTGATTTGAAGGATTCTTTAAGAATCTTAGAAAAAAAGAATCCTGGTTTTCCCCCTATCAGCTTCCTCTAGTTGATCCACAGCTTACACTAGGTGCTTGACAAATACGATGAACAAACAAAAAAAGTTTTCTCTTTTTGCCTTGACCCCTTTTCTGTTTCCTACTGCAGCCAGAGTGGCACTGCTAAAAGATCAACATGAAGACATCTGCCACCTTCCACGCTCTACCCTGTGTCCTTCTGCATCACCTCTACAATAAACAATGCACCACAGCCCGGGCCCAACCCGGTCTCGTCCTCCCAGGAGCACAGGCTGAGAGGCCTGCACTGAATGAAGGGTGTCCCTTGGCAGCCTGAGCACACGGTGCAGCCTGCACGGACTGCTGCCACGCTTCGGAGCTAACCACTCCCCGCACCTTCCACCGGCCACATCGCTACCGCATTTCAGGTCCTAGCCAATGCTCAGCAACATTTTCCTGAATTAGGTCAGCTCACACTATTCAAAACTCTCTCACTACCACACACCATTCTTAAAAATGTACACCACCATTTTAAGTTTCCATTAAAAAAAAATGTGTTTCTTCACTAGAAAATGAGGTCTATAAACATAGAAAGCATGGATAAGTTTACTCAAAATACTATTGCATGAACCCAGTAGTAGTCTGGCACATACAAAGCAATCAGTTTTTGGAATAAAGAAATAAATGGATGAGTGGACATGGCTGGACAATTACAGAAAACTGGGAATTTATGAAATGATATCACACTGTCATATTCAGAAATGTGAAAGAATCATTTGTGATTTGGGCCATTTAAGTAGAAACAGTGTAAGAATGTGACATGGTCTAGCACAAATTTCAACATTTGGAACTTCAAAATGGAAGGAACGTGGACTGGAAATCATAAGTACATGTATAACTTAATTTCTTATTGTCTTTTTATTCCTATTTCTAAGTTGAGTAGCCATGGACTTCACTAATTCTTTCAAGCTATGAAGAAAGTCTTAATATGCTGTAGAAACTTATTAAATAATAGTGGTACAGGAGCGCTTAGAAGTACAACTACTAGGGGCCGGGGAGATGGCTCAGTAGAATAAGCGCTTCCCTGGCAAGCGCAAGGGCCTGAGTCAATCCCCGCTTCCACAAAAAAAAAAAAAAAAGAAAAAGAAAAAGAAAAAGAAGAAGTACAACTACTGACAAAGCCATGTAGCCCATGGGCATCCCTCTCTCAGGGAAGATGGCAGCCGGCACCACTGAGTTCTGAGGAAGACGCTTGGGGTCAAAGCACACAGTGATACATCCATTTGCTTTCTTCCTATAACTGTTGCTATATGTACTTTTTCGTTTTCTTAAATAACATCTGTCAACCTGAAGGATAAATCTTATTCAGCAGACATTCTAATGTAAGACTTGGGAATAAAAATGTTCCTTCTCTTACCCAACCCCTGGTAGGAGCATGGTCATTACACATAACATATGATATTCCTTCTCCATCAGAATAGGGGTAAGCAGATAAAATTTGCTAGGCCTAAATAAACACAGTGAGGATAACAATGAACTAATTCAATAAAAATATCCTACATATTCATCGGTGAGTCAATTGTTTCCAAGGCACTCTTGGGAGGGGAGTAAAAAGAGAGGGCTTTGTCATTGTACCCTTATTGTTTCTTTAGCACTTACTGAATTACAATGTGGAAGCAACCAAAATAGTAGTCGACTTTTCAAATGTAGTTTAAAAATACATTGTGGTTATGGTCAAAGATAATTTCAATTTTTGCTTAATGTTTGCTCTGTCTATAGTATTTTTCTAATTTTTTTTTCCAATGAATGTGTATTTGTTTATTAAATTAGTTTTCAGAAAGAACGTGGCCATCAATGCAAACATGGTCTGGAGGCAGAGCTTTGTCTACCCTCCATCTGAATAGAAATCCTCATCCCTCGCTGCCGCAGCCACCACCAATGTATGATCAGTGTTGGGAGAAGCGTCCACTCTCAATTAATTATTCAACAGTCACTCCACACACACGAAACAGGGAAAATAAGCAGAATGGAGCCAATCCTTCCGGGAAGGCAGGCTGTGCTCCTATTGCTCCACCTTCCATTTCTGCGATAACCAAAAAATCCAGCCTTTTGTTTCCTTCTGTAACTATTGGCCATCTTTGTACTTTGTTTATGAGCTCAAATTTTCAAATGAATCAATGCCCCAGAACAAACAATTCAGGGGGATTTTCCTTCCTGGGTTGATTTTTCTTTTACATCAGCTACCATATTGTGCCAATATGCATCCTGATGATTTGAAATTATTCATCTTATAGAAAAAAGTACCCGTTTACCAAAATAAAGTGCATTTAAAAGACAGCTAACTCTGCTTCTTTTTAAAATTACTTTCCCCATGCTTTCTTCACTCTTAAATGTCCCTGATTATGCATGATCCCTGAATCCCTACATTAAAATGCATAGAAAAATAAAAAATTTCATTTAAAACACCCTCCCACACAGTACAAGCTGTCATTGTGTCATATTTGTTTCCTAATTTAAGAAAGGAAGTTACATTTCATTAAATTGCCTTATCATTTAAAGGGGCATTAGGATATTTAGAGCAGTATTTTCCTACAAAATCATGGTCTTTTTTGTTTCTATTAATCAGTGCAAGGGTATGCAACTACCAATTATGCTACTGAAATCATCACACTTATTTTGCTCATGACTTACAATTAAGGTAGATCTCGTAGGAGAAAAACATTGTTTTATTTCTTGTGAAACACAGGAGTCTGATCCTACATCTGTGGAAATTTACTGGCAAAGCTGAAGCACAGCATGGGCCATGGAATACACAGTCATCTATAATTACTTAAGCCAAATATACCTAAAAGAAAAAACCTACGTGAAGGTAGTGCACAGTAAAATAACCCCTACCTTCTGCCCCCCTTTAATCTCATGAAGGCTATAGAAAGCTCTTAACTGCTTTCTTCTCTTCCTAACTAACTCCCTTCGCTATTTAAACAATTACAAATTTTATCAAGTCTTCATTTCTCTTACAGTCAAGTGAGAGAGAACTGCCAAGTTTAATAAGATTTACAAAGGCTAGTTCCCCTCAGCAATGTCAACAGAAAAAAAAACAAAGACATTACACAATAAAACAACTGCACATTGAGCTTTTGTCCCTACAGCTTTCAAAACCAGATTTAATAATTCACCTTCTCCTCTATTTCAGCCACAAATGCCATTTATCCCTGTGCCGACTGCCTTGATCTGACCCAGAAGTGATCTGGCTACTTTGAACCCCGCCGTCTCCTGGCCTGCACTGCCACTGCGACACGCACACTTCACGCTTTTCATGCCCCTCCCTGGGTTCCCGTTCACTAGCTAGCCTGTGTTTACACAACTGTATTTTCCTTGCTTGCTGCCTGGTAACAACATGGAAGAAACACTCAGGAGCTTAAATTTTATTTCTGAGGGACTCAAAATAAGAGAGGTCTGTTCCTTCTCGTTCAGACCCACAGTTTCAAGACCCAAGAAACACAACAATTACCAGTCGGCTTCCACTACTCACGACGTGACACGAGCTGAGCACCCTTAGGGAACCTCCTGCCGTCGCTCACACACGCCCTGTGCACCAGCGAGCAAAACTTCCACACCCAGCATCTAAATGTCTATTTCTCTTCTCAAGGCATTTGTTAATCAAGAAATGTTCTATTTAATCGCTAGCCTTTCTAAACATTACCTGATCTGTCTGACAGACCCCCCCAAAAGGCTGAAATCACAAAACTTTACTTAAATATGACAGGTGGTGGGCTTACATATAACCATGGAAACCAGTATTAGTTCCAAAAATCCCTCCTGCTCCTGAATAAAACCTTCCATCGCCGCCCTTCCTTCCCACGAGCACGAGCAGGTCCCCGCGCTCCAGGGAGAAGGGCAGCGTGCCTGCGGCTGTCTTTCCTGCGGCTCCCACAGCCCGCCCGGGGCTTTCCCAGCGGGACCCTCCCGGAGCGTCACTTCCCGGGGGCGGCGGCGCCTCGGAGCGCAGCTGCTGGGTCGAGGGGACAAGAGTGGTCGCGGGAGGCCTGGCCCTGCGGGCAGCACCGGCGAGCCCCGCACCCCGCGTGGAGGGGCCGCCTGCAGGCCTGGCCGGGCCTGCTGCCGGCTGTGCGTGCG